AATGTGTTCCTCAAGGTCTCAAGTTTGAATTCTATTAAGTGCTAACAATTTTAATCGTAGACCTCACTAATAGACAATGAAATTGATCTTTTTAAATTAATCAATTGAAAAATTAGATACCAAAATTTAAATTAAAAAAAAAAACATATAACCTACAGATAAAAAATATTTAAACTTCTAACATTTAATTTTGAAGTTGTGCTTGTGTTATAATTAAAATCATTAATTATTATATATAAGATTTTTTTTAAAAAAATAATTTTCATATTCATTTTCATTATGAATAATCATGTAAATCCTGAGAAAAATTGTCTTTTATCTTTTGACTCAACTTTATTATTATTATTTTTTTTGAGAAACTTTGTTTTTAATTTTCGTTGCTAAAAATAACATTTTCCGATTTCTTTTCAACTTTTTCAACACTTTTAACAATAATATCATATATTATTATTAATATGAGAGTTTAATATACTTGTTTGACGCATATGTTTTGGTTTTAAAACAATTGGTGTGTGACACATATATTTTAGCATTTTTATTATTGCTCTTTTCTATATATAAAAAGGGATTGAATTTGTTTTTGAAATCATTTCTCACTTAAAACAAATATATTGAAAAAAATATTAATATACATATATTTTATAATTCAGAGCAAAACTTGTTTTATTATAAATATACCTAAAAAAAGAAATATATTTTAAAAAGCTAAGAATTTTTTTTAATAAAAGGCCAACACATTGTAAAAAGAATTTGATATAAAAATAAGGGGAACAAGTTAATCCTATGAACTACTTGAATCTAAAGAATGATAATTCTAACTTATTCTTTACGAAATTCTTCCGAATCCCTAAAAGAATGGAATCAAAATAAGAGATTCAAGTGATGTCGAGCGTAAAATTCGCCAAAAAATCGGCACAAGAGTTACATTCATGAAAGATATGAGATCTGACTAAAGAAGAGAAATTACAAGAATCTATATAAAAGTTACAACAACGTCTAAATTTCCAAGGAACCAACTTAAGGTTGGAAAAAACTTTGGCGACTAAAGAAGAGTCGGATTTGATCCAAAACTTAGACTAACCCTTAGAAATAGCAATCTCCATGGCTTTTATAACGACACTAAACTTCGCATGAAGAGGAGAATCCCAATAAAGATGCCCCGCAGGACCAGAACAAGTTGGAAATCTGGATCACCAACATCATCCTCTTTATTAGAAGGTTCGACCATGTTATCCTATGATTCTTTTAGGAATTGTTCATTGTTAGGTTGCACATCTTCGTTGTGAGTAGTAGCCAAACCCCATTGGGTTTCGTCAAGAAACTCCGAGGATTCAGAACCACTTTCCTCATTAGAAATGAGAATAGTACAATTAAGAGAAAGGTCCAATATAGGGGTGTGGATCAACTTTTCTTGTAAAACCAATGTGACGTCTTTTGCAATGGGGGAGAGAATTTTGGTAGCAGAAATCGTAGTATTTGAAGGAGCATAATTGGATTCACTTATAAACTTGGTATGCTTTTTATTTGCTTCTAAAACATGATCAATTTGTTCTCTGCAGGTCGTGGGAGGTGCAACCTTAAGGGGGTCTTTAGAAGGAATTTGGTTTTGATTTGGATTCAAGGTTATGTTTTCTTCTACAACTGATTTTAGAGTGTTCCAAAATCTTACAGAAACTACATAATTCAGGTATTTTCTCATATTCTATGTCGACAAAAATGCAAATCTAACACGTTCAACAGGAATTTTATCTCTGAGTTCTTTTAAGAAGGTCAATGTCCACAAGGACCCTTATGAAATGACCAAAAGGGTGATTGAAAAGAGAACGATTCAAAGAGGAGTCAATACAAATTGGAGTACCCAAACTACTGGAGATTCTGAAAATGATTTTGGGCCTCAAATACTCTTGGGCAAGGCCATGAATTATGATTCATACTTGGGCAGAGCTTTGAGACATACTAGACGACACGAAATATTTTGACCATGGAAACAACTTGAGGATACCAGGGTTAACGTTCCAAGAGGGGGAAGATATGACTCTTCTAACATATTCAATACAAGAGAAAGAGAATTCAAATAATCCCTTATCTAGAGAAGTAACTCCCCACATGGTTTGAAGTTTCGCTTTTAGTTGTTGCACAATTAAAGGTGTGGAACCTTTCGGGTACAAAATTCTTCCATGAAGATTATGCTTGCAATCTTCTAACCCGATGAGATATTCATCTTCAAGAATCAAAATGGACATTCAGTCTCCTTTGACACAAGGATTTGAAAGTTGGCTAGTGGGAATATCATAGACATTACCAATGGCTTCAACAAAGGTTTTGGTTGGTTTCAGAGGGATTGTCGTGGGGATTGGGGGTTTGGTTAAGTGAGAGATTTCTGGGAAAAAGTATGAAAGTGCAGGTCGTCCATGGCGGAAGGAGAATGGGGAAATCGCATAAAGTGAAATTAGGGAAAAACAAAATAATTCAAACAAGCTAGAGAGGGGGGAGGGGACGTTCCCTCTCTCTAAAGAATACATTTTTTCTTATTCATCAGTTTAATCATAATGCTAAGAATTTGATTATAACAATAAATAAAAATAACTATTTAAAATATACCTTAACTTACTATATCATATTCTATTACATACTATAACTAATCATCACCTAAAGCGACACTCTCAAACTTATACCATTACTCTCCAAAGAAAATTTCACAAATGTGACAAAAAAATATTATGGCTCTGTTTAGTAAGACACATTTTCGAGCTTATAACTTATAAGTAGATATGACAAATTATATATATGTTTGATAACAATCTTTTTAGATGAGCTTATAACTTATTTTACTAGTTATAACTTATTTTTCAAACGTTATTTCAAATAACGTTTTAACTTATATTTTATAACTTATCATCTTTTCTTTCATTTTTATCCTTATTATTTTAACAAAAATCCTTTTTTTGTTCTTTATAATTTATTTATTTTTATTTAAAATAAAATAAATATGTATTAAATGTCTTTTATGTCATTTTACATTTATAAGTTAGTTGAACCATTAATTTTACTAAACACTTCAACTAGCTTATCAACTATCAGTCACCAACGATCAGTTATAAGCTATAAGCTATCAGTCATTAGCCATCATCTATTAGTCATAAGTTATAAGTTAGCTTATCAATCAACCACTAATTTTACGAAACAGAGCCTATGTATAAAGATCAATTGATAGATTGCATATAAGAGATTAGCCATTTGGCTATTTTTTTTAATTTACTCAATGTTTCAAGTTTCTTCTTAATGAGTCATCGTGAGGGGGAAGCATTCAAATTGGATGAAACAGTCACTTAAAGGTCAAAGATTCATCCAAACAAGTGAAAGAGACACCACATATTCACTCAAAACCTTAAGGGAATAAATGTATGGGTCCTCTTACTTATAAAGTGCTCAACCTCCACTTTTCTAAGCAATGTGAGACTTAGAACTCACACTTGTTTCTCAACAATCTCCCCCTCAAGTGTGAGTTCATCCACTATGCCCCCTCAAGCGGAAGCTCTTTCATCCACATACTTGTAACACCATTGAGAGACACCCTTATCTCATAAAGGATACTTCAACAGAACACGCTTCCTAACCACCATGTTAGAAAGACTTTCGACACAAAGAACTGGTCCCTTACTCGAACCATCGACTCTAATACCACAGATGGATCATTACCAGGGGAAAGCATTCACATTGGGTCAAACAGTCACCTAAATATCAAAGACTCACCCAAACAAGTGAGAGATACACCACATATTCACGCAAAACCTTAAGGTGATAGGTGTATAAGTTCTCTTACTTATAAAGTGTTCAACCTCCACTTTTCTAAACAATGTGAGATTTAAAACTCACATTTGTTTCTCAACATAACTCACACTTGTTTCTTTATCTACATATTTATTTATTTTTATCTTTTTATTAATATTATTGCCTTGTGACTTGTCAATTTAAATAAAGGTGTTGATATAGACCAGTGTACTCTTTATTTTAAAAAACAAGAAACATGAACTAATAAGTAAAAACTAATATATATATATATATATATATATATATATATATATATATATATATATATATATATATATATATATATATATATATATATATATATATATATATATATATATATATATATATATATTAATTTTGTTATTTTTTAAGGCAATATTTAATTATATCAAAAAAATATTTATTAAAAAAGAATCAAATAAAATATCCACGTCTATAAATAGTCTTTAATTTCTATCTTAAAATAATATAGTAATTGATTTGACTAAAGTGAAAATGGAATTAACTATTACTTATTTAAGTAAAAAATTATTTATTGTTTGAAAATTATATTTTGACCAAATTGTTTAACAAATTCATTGTATATATTATGTGCTAAAAAATAATTTCACACGTACATTTAATTACCTCCCTACATAAATATTTATGAAGAATCATTTCAAAAACTATTTTTCTCTTTTATTAAATGTAAATTAAATATAAAATTTTAATCAAATCACTAAATATTAATTAAAGTTGACCGAATCGATAAAAAGTTAATAAGATCGTGAATTTTAGTTTAATAAAAAATGATTTAAATATGTTTGTGGAAGTACATAATGATTAGAAGAAGAATGAATTAAATAGTATAGTATATTATTGGATTAGTGAGAGATTAATTAAACTAAATATAAACCATCAAGTGATGACATAGCGAAAGGGTCGGAAGCAGGTTCGGTGTTAGCTTTAATACACCAATATTATAGACACAATAACTAAACACAGAAAAATCGAAGGAAAGCGAGGGAAAGGACCTAACATTTTTCAAACCCCTTTCTTTCTTCTTTCTCTTTGCTTTCTTCATCATCATTATCATCTTCACCATTATTTATTTTTTATTTTTTTCATTCTTAGTTCAGAATTCTTTTTATTTATAGGACAATTTAGATTGCTTTCTCGGATTTTTGTTCATTCTTAAGACGTTCATCATGTCTGCCGAACATGTTTTACCGTTCTCTGTTGTTTCTGTCGTTGAGGATGTTCTTCAACAACAGAGTACCCCGTCAAGCGATTACAAATTTGCTTCCAGAAAAGCCGAAGAAGCTTGTATATTTATATCTATCTATCTCTTTCCTCTCTTTTTTTTACGTTAAGATTTTTTTTTTTATTACTTTGATCAATATATGTGATTAATTAAGTTTTTTATGAAACTCAATCATAATGTTTTTTTGATGGCTAATGTTGTTGTTTGGTATCACGGTTGAATTCAGAATTCAGAATCACAGAATTTCACCGTGATACCAAACACACTTTGTAGTTTATTGTAATATGTAGCGGCGATAGAGGATTTTATGTAACTGAGATAGGATTTGTCTGTTATTGTAGCTTTGAGAAGGTATGAAGCGGCGGGTTGGTTGAGAAAAACGGTTGGAGTTGTTGGGGGAAAAGACTTACCGGCGGAACCTTCTGAAGAAGATTTTCGGATTGGTTTGCGAAGTGGGATTATCCTCTGCAATGCTCTCAACAGAATTCAACCGGGAGCCGTGGCCAAGGTATGTTCTTGTTTCACGAAAATATGCTACCGTATATTTATGCTCTATGACGATGATTGAACCTATATTATCTTTAGGTGGTTGAAGGCCCTAGTGATTCTGTTATTATTCCTGATGGAGCCGCGTTGTCTGCTTTTCAATACTTTGAAAATGTAAGGAACTTTCTTGTAGCAGTCGGAGAAATCGGACTTCCTACCTTTGAAGCTTCTGATTTGGAACAGGTTCTTTATAACCAAACTCGAACTTTTTAGTTTATTAGTAGTTTGGTTTCGTCGGATGGATTGAAATCAATACACACTGATAGTGTATATTTTTTTGACAATCTTAATCAAACGTAATCGTCAGATCGTAACTGTGATTTTTTTTCTTTGTTCCGCGTGCTTTATTTATAGGGAGGAAAGTCTTCAAGAATAGTGAATTGTGTTTTGGCACTCAAGTCCCATGCTGAAGGGAAACTTGGAGGAAGAAGTGGGTCGGGGTCATTGAAATATGGTCAAAAGCCACCTATGTCTGCGAAATCGATGGCGAGGAAAAACTCAGAACCATTCATGAAGTCTCTATGGAGCATGACATTAGTTGACAAAGATGGTTACGCAAGTGATAACTCTTCATATAGTGATCTCGGACAGGATCGACTTGAAGGGGTTAGAGATAGCATATTCTTACTTTTTTCCCCTCAAAATGGTAAAAAACCTATGTCTAAGCTTCATGAATTGGTGGTACTTGCAGGGCTCGTTTTCTTCCTTAAACTCACTCGTTCGCCAATATTTGTCTGATAAGAAGCCCGAGGAGATTCCCATTGTAAGGCCTATTTCTTCTTTAATAGATTAAGACGAAACCGCTTACCCTATTGAAGAGTTTTCCAAGTGATTTTTTCCTTGCTCGTCAAGTAAAGTAACCGCATTAAGCTTTAATAGATCAAGACGAAACCACTTACCATGTTGAAAAGATATAACATCTTTTTATGCAACAGGTAGTGGAGTCTCTTCTTAACCGAGTCATGGAAGAATTTGAGCGTCGGATGCAAATTCAACAAGAAATGCAAATTCAGCAAGAACCGCAAGTTCAACAAGAACCGCAAGTTCAACAAGAAACAGTATGCATCTCTCTATCACTCTTAGTTGTGTTGAATCTTATACCATTCTGAATCTAATGATAAAGTTTTAATAATTGCAGTTGAAAACAACAACTCAAGAAGATAAGGCACCATCTGAAACGGAACAATCAATTTCAAAAGATGTTTCTGTTGATGAAGCGGTAAATTCACATTCCATAGAATACTTATTTCACAAGTTCAAATTGAAATTGTTTAGAATGGTCGGTCACTATCACAATCTCAACATCGTAACGTATTTTTTGTCTGAGGATACTAAAGATGGAAGAAAAAGAGGATGGAGAACAGTTGCAAGACAAACAAGAGGAATGCTATGATGAGAAATACAATGGTGATGCTGAACAATCAAACAGCTTCAATTTAATGCAGCAAAGTTTAGTCGAGCAACAAAATAGAATTGCCCAGCAGAGTTTAGTCGAGCAACAGAGTAGAATTGTCCAGCAGAGTTTAGTCGAGCAACAAAATAAAAGTGTACAGGTAGCTTGCGTTGTAATAATATATCTTGAACTCAATGTATGGGAATCAATGCGGTTAAGTGACGAATTCGATGTTGAAATTCTATAGGAAGTGAAAAAAGTTGTCCTTCAAACGAAATCGGGAATGCAGTTTCTGCAAAAGGAATACCAGAAGGATATGATCAATCTAAGTAAGCACTTGCGTAGTCTAGCTGCTGCTGCTTCAGGATATCATAAAGTTCTCGAAGAAAACCGCAAGTTATACAATCAAGTGCAGGATCTCAAAGGTATAAACTCTAGCGGCAAAGACTCGATAGTTTATATATAATTATACTCATAGGCTGTCCATGTTCTAAACGAGAGTGAATGGACAATATTTTTGCATGTTGATAGGAAATATTAGGGTGTACTGTCGAGTTCGACCGTTCTTGGGAGGAGGGCAAGTGAGTCAAAATAGTGTTGTCTGCAGCGTGGAGGAAGGAAGTATGTCACTCATGATACCTCCGAATTCCAAACTTGGTAAAGAGGGAAAAAAGACATTTAACTTCAATAAAGTGTTTGGTTCTTCTTCAACACAAGGTTAGTCTCAGTTTGTTATTTTCACTAAAACTGTTTTCACTAAGTATGTTTTCATCATCACTGATGTTTATCGTTTTCTTGCAGGGGAAGTTTTCGCGGATACGCAGCCTCTAATTCGTTCTGTTCTCGATGGTTACAATGTTTGTATATTTGCATATGGCCAGACAGGATCAGGAAAAACATACACTATGGTAAGAGACTTTATCAGCCTCTGATATTTTAAAGTCTCGGAAATTTCACGTCATAAAAAAATCCCGAGCCAAGGAAAGACATATTTAGCCCTAGATTAACTAAGCAATCAAATATCTTGATGCAGGCAGGACCAGACAATCTTGATGAGGACACCATAGGTGTGAACTACCGTGCATTGAGAGATCTTTTCTTTCTCTCAGACCAGAGGAAAGAGACCATTATCTATGAAATATCGGTTCAGATGCTTGAGATTTACAATGAGCAAGTCCGAGACCTATTAGCTCCAGAGGGTTCCAACAAAAGATATCCTTTTTTAATCTATCGATACTATAATACTATGAACACTATTCTATGTGGATGCAATGCGGAATTATTGTTGATTATTTTGTTCCTTGATGCAATCCTTAACACATACACACATTAGAAATCCGCAATAGTTCCAGTAATGGCATCAACGTGCCAGACGCGAATCTCGTTCCAGTTTCAACCACTTCCGAAGTGATAAATTTGATGAACTTAGGACATAAAAATCGTGCAGTTGGCTCTACTGCCATGAACGATCGTAGCAGTCGTTCTCACAGGTAATAGCAATGGCATTGTTAGGTTTGTTGCTAATGAATGATAAGGAGAAAAAATTATCGACAAACTACTTATCTGATAATCGGTATATAATTGCAGCTGCTTGACAGTTCACGTTCACGGAAAGAACTTGGTATCGGGAAGCATTATCCGAGGTTGTATGCATCTTGTCGATCTTGCAGGAAGTGAAAGGGCTGATAAAACCGAGGCCACAGGAGATAGACTTAAAGAGGCTCAGCATATCAACAAGTCACTTTCCGCCTTAGGAGATGTAATTGCTTCCCTTGCTCAGAAGAATGCCCATGTTCCATACAGGAACAGCAAACTCACTCAGCTACTTCAGGATGCACTCGGTATGATTTTCCTACGACAATATGTGTTCAACCGCATTAGGATCGGTCTCCTTTCTTAGCTTTTAAGGAACTTCTTTCTTTACATGTATGTAACAGGAGGACAGGCCAAGACCCTAATGTTTGTTCATATGAGTCCGGAACCCGATGCTCTTGGAGAAACACTTAGTACACTCAAGTTTGCCGAACGCGTCTCCTCCGTTGAACTTGGAGCCGCACGAGTGAATAAAGATAATACAGAAGTGAAAGATCTTAAAGAACAGGTTCTTACTTTGTGCTTTCTGCACTCAAGTCTATTGGAGCTCTTTGCATTTTCAAGTTATGCAATTTTTGTGCTGAGTTTTGTTTATGTAACCTTTACGTTGTCAGATTGCTATGCTGAAGGCAGCCTTAGCAAGGAAAGACGGAGAAGCGGAACACGTTCAGCAACCTACCAATAGTGGCCATGTAACACCAAAGGTGAAATCCTATGCATCGTCACCTCCCATGCAGCAGCGTAACGTGACATCGTCCGGAGGCCGTAAGGTGCCCAAAGATGATTCTAGTAACATAATGGTAACATGTTATTCTCTATAGACAGAGATCTTAGCTCCATGAAATTAATTTAGTCACATTTCAAAAGCATGATATTTTAGTCCTTAAGTTTCAAACGCTATACACTTTGATCCTTTATGTCCGTTTTCCGTTAAAAGTCTGTCAAATTGCCTACTTGTCATTACGTTTTGGTGATCAGATGTCAAACTCGACAACAAGAAGCAGGAAACATTTGATGGACTCAAACGCGAAAACAAACAAAAAAGGCCAAAGTGCGTAACGTTTGTATCTTAACAGACCAAAAGAGTAATTTAGCCTAAAATTCATACACGGTCACTAATGTATGCAAGTGTTGTGAATAATTGCGTGTAGGGCCAGAAAAAGAGTGCAACAAAGCTGAAAAGAAGAAGTCTAGATCCTCACGACATGTATCGCAATTCACTACCATGGCCACATGTTAACAACCAAGCCGTAAATGGAAAAGACGACGATAAAGATTCAGATTCAGTTTCGGGTGAATGGGTTGATAAGATTCCGATGAACCGGACCGACAGCTTAACTAGCGATGATAGCTTAGTGGAACAATGGGAAGCAGATAGTAAACAATTCTCTCCAATAAGTTCAAGTTCATTTTCAGAAAATTCAAAGTTAAGTTTGGAACCCGCGTTCGACACTACCACAATGACAACAGAAGAATCTGATGAACTTGAAATCGCAACCAGTGATTCTTCAGAATCAGACATGAATTGGCTTATACAAGCACCTAAACCAACCGCGCCTTCAAATGGAGTAGCCTCTATTAAAGCAAAGAAATCTATTAATCCAAAACAATCAAAGATACCCGAAATCAGGTAATTATTTCATTTTAATCGTACAAGAGTTTAATAATTATACACTGACATATAATATTTTTTGACACATCCATCAAATGATAACAAACAATGGTGTCATTATTATATTATGTTGCATGTATATGTGCTTCTGCCTTCTATTTCTGTATAATCTTTATTAATATTGTCTCTGTATGTTCGGAAATAGGAGTATGATTCCTTCGTTAATTCCTACGCCGGGGAAGAAACTACCAACTCCAACTCCAATTACTCAAGCAAGAAAGAATCAAGGATCTATTGATGTAAAGAGGAGGAATGCAAAGTGAGATAAGAGCATTGTTCAAAGTGTTGAAAAGCTTTGTTACCTTTTTCTATGGAGTTTTTAATACTTTTTTCTTTTTTATGATTTTAATACTACACTTAAACAATACATTTGTTTGGTGGAAGATTATGACATTAGATTTTAGCAATCAATTTGAAATGAGATTTAAATAATTCAAATTGATCCATAGGAAGTTATTTTAATGTCATGAATTTTCATAAGGACAAATGGATGTAAGTTGTAATGCCGGAAGGACAAAAGTTAGAGTTGGATTATAGTGGTTTTCTCTTCTTTTTTTTTGTATCTATAACAAGTGATTTTTGTGCAATTTGGTATCTATATTACTACTATTTATCAAGTTATATTTAAAATAGTTTTATTTTAAAGTGGTTTATAATTTAAAAAAGAAATGATAAATAACAATTGGTTACTAACCAAAATATCAAATAAGTTAAGACTTCAAACATTATTGTGAGAGGTGCCACATTTAATATTAATTATGTCCGGGAGTAGGAATATATATATGTTTGATTCAACTAGTTTATTTATTACGTAATTTTTAATGCGTAGAAAATTAATTTTATATTTTAATCATATAACATTAATAAAAATATAACCGTTTTAACGATATAGTAATAGTTATGAAAAAAGCCAAAAAAAATTATTTTTAAAAATAATTATGATAAAAGTTAAGTATTTCTAATAATGTTTAGATTTATTGAAATTGTAAATTTCAGAATATTTATCAATTAAATTGTATTATAGTTCCTTAACACAATTCGGTTCATAAATATTTGATTCTGGATTTAAATCTATCACATCTAACTTTTTAGAAGAAAAATAAATTCTAATTTAATAGTGATAAAAATAAAACGTAAAACATTACATATATATATTTTTTTAATTCTATTTACAATTGATATACTTTATAAGTATAATAAATATTATGGTTTTAATTTTGATTTTTTTTTGTTGAAATTTTTTTATTGTTTGGATTGTAAAGTTATTATGGAAAAGAGTTTGACTATCTAATATAGAGTATTAGTTATGGATGTAAAAATTAAGAGGGGAGTAAAAAGAAGAAATTTTATGAGTGTTACAAATCAAGTGGCGACATTTGATGAGTGAAAAATAAGAAAGCTTCTAACACAAGATTTTGAAAGGAGGATTTGGACAATCACAAGAAAGTGTGAATGATATGTGAAATAAGATGACTCAAGAGATTAGAAAAATAGATAAACAGACGTTGGAAGTATCAAAAAGTTTTGAACGTAGGGGTAAAGAATCGTATTAGTGGAGTGAAAGTGTTCGAAGTAAAGTTTAAGTAAAAACAGATTGCATTAAACAAGTTTGTAAAAATTTCGAAACTTAAAAAACGTATAAGAAAGTTAAGTACAAGACAAAAAAAAACGATGAATGAAGCAAAACAACCCAAACTTTTGTCAGATTACCAATTTTTAGGATCAAATGAGAGACAAATTGTTTTATATATATGCTTGCCAAGGGAAAAGAAAGAAAAACGAGATTTGAAACAAGTGAAGTGTGTTAAAGATGAAGAAAACAAGATCTTGGTTTAGAAAAAAGATATAAAAGTTAGGTGAAAGATGTATTTCTATAATTTATTTAATGAAGGATATGATATTTCGTTGGACTCTACTAGACTCGACATTAGAAAAGATGATCGAAACTATAATTCTTATCATCGAATTCAGAAACTAGAGGTAAAACAAGTGTTGAAAAGAATGATTAACAGTAAGGTGGTTTTACCCGACAACATAACTATTGAAGTATGGAGACTTAGAACTCACAGTTGTTTCTCAACAATAGTCCTACTTAAGATTCGAAGGAGAATTTAATTGAGAGGTTGGAGACTTGAAGACGGGTGACAGTTGCTAACCTACAGGTGAAAGTTGGAGACCATATTATCCCATAAATCACACAATTTAAATTTCGTGGGTCTGTAAAACAAAACGATAGAGAAACATAAAGGGATGTAGACCATCAAATTCAAGTTGGGTACCGCTTAAGCTGAACAATTTTTTTTATCAGAATGCGGTAAGACCTGCAATGTTGTATAAGACATAATGTTGAGAGATTAAAAATCAACATAAGAATAAAGTAAGTGTAGTATAAATGACGATGTTGCATTGGAGGTGTGGTAAGACTAGACAAAATACTATTAGAAATGAAAATATTAGAGAGAGTGTCAGAATAACACCTAAAGTAGAAAAAATGGGAGAAAATAAACTTAAATGATTTGAGTTTGTGGACAAATTCGGTAGTAATTAGAGTAGATCAGATGGAAAAAAGTCAAATAACTAGTTCTAAAAGAAAACCTAAACAAAATTATAAGAAAATTGTTGATAAAAATCTTGAAATTAACGAGTTGAATAAAAACATAATCTTAGAAAGAACATTATAGTCAACTATACTTAATAAAATAAAACTTAGTTGTTGTTCATTTACAAAATAAAATATAAAAAAAAATGTTAATCGTTTTTATATTTACTAATGTCCACACAGGTACTTTCGAATTCTTTTATTCGCTCTTTTATTATGCCAACACATTAATGTCTTTTATGAGTATTTTAGTATCTCTTTAATACGAATATTACTTAGATTCAATTATTAAAATTAAAAGTAAGATGATAAATATATAGTTTCAATATATTTATGTATATAAATTTTTTCATAAAAGTATTTTTTTTATTTTTTTTATTTTTACAAAAATGGGGATAAAAGTGACATTAAGAAGATCCCTTTACCGAAACCCAAAAAAGAATCCCTTTTTTCCCCATCTTTTGTTCTCTCTTAGAGAGCGTCTCTTTGCACCAATCAAATTACAGTCACACAAAAACACTTTCTTCTCCCTAACATCACAGAATCCCATTCTCATCCTCCGTTTCTAGGGTTTATCGCCATTCAGTCTAACCCTCTCTTCCTCCTCAATCGAATCTCTTCTACCTATGCTTTTCGCCATCTACAATGTAGTACTCGAATCTACCTTCTCGATCTACCGCACTTTTTATATATCTTTTCGCATAATTAGTTCAATCTTAGTTCCTAATTATCTTTTCTAGCACTGATTATGTTATTCGATTTTGAAATTTTACTTCTCTAGATTCAAACGCACATTGTTAGTTTTGCTTCCACGATCCGTTCTAGAATTATTGATTCATGAATAGATCTAAATTTTGATATTACTGTAATTATCATGTAAAAATATTGGTCAAGTGTAGCTGAAAATGTATCTGTTTTTTTTTAGGTTGGAATTGATTTGGATGATTAGATATTGTTTCTCATTACTGAGAATCTAGACATGTTGAATTGTGAAGTAAGATGAGTAAGCGTGAGATGTCGAGGATGAAGCAGTCGTCGCCGGTTCCTTTGGCTACCTTGATTGGCCGTGAACTTCGGAATGGGAAAGTTGAAAATCCTTTTGTGAAGTATGGACAAGCTGGATTGGCTAAGAAAGGAGAGGATTACTTTTTGATCAAAACAGATTGCCAAAGGGTTCCCGGAGATCCATCGACTGCGTTTTCTGTCTTTGCGGTATTGTTTATTATTCGGTTTAATTCTTTGTGTATTTATTTGAGTTGAGTGAGTTCGTTTTAGTGTTTAGGTTAATGTTTGAAGTGAAGTATTTGTATCTCAGTAAGATAACTTTGTCTTATGAGGTTTTAGGATTTGTTTGAATTGGTTTATTTGAGTTTCTCTATTTGCAGAAACAACTGCTAGACTGTTTGAGAGAGCTGATTGAAAAAATTTATGACATAATGTCCTTAAGTTGTTTTCAACTTATTTTTGTAAGCTCTCCAGGATAGGTCAACATATAATTTATAAGAAAATAGTTTGACTTTATTTTATCTTCTGTTATAGAAATGGTTTATACATAGACACTTATATGATACAAGTGCTTATGTTATAAGCATTTATTTAAGTTGTTTATCGAAATAGAGACTTAGTAGATGTCATATAAGGATTGGAGCAACTGTTTCTCTTTTCTTCGCATTTATAAGCAGTAAATGGGGCATCAATTCATTCTTGCAATGGTTATGATATCAATAAGGAGTTCTTGATTGGCAGGTTTTTGATGGGCATAACGGTATATCAGCTGCTATTTATGCAAAAGAAAACTTGCTTAATAATGTTTTGAGTGCAATACCGCAAGATATAAGCAGGGAGGCATGGCTACAGGCCCTGCCTCGTGCTCTAGTGGTTGGTTTTGTGAAGACTGATACAGAGTTTCAGAAGAAGGGTACATACCAAACCTTGTTTGCTTGCTTTTTGGATCTTCTGTGCACTCTGTCGCTGACATCTTAATTTCATCTGCAGGGGAAACCTCTGGAACAACAGTTACATTTGTTTTAGTTGATGGATGGACTGTCACTGTTGCATCTGTTGGTGATTCCCGTTGCATATTAGATACTCAAGGAGGTGTAGTTTCTCTCCTGACAGTTGATCACAGACTTGAAGAGAATGTGGAAGAGAGGGAACGTGTTACTGCCAGTGGTGGCGAAGTAGGAAGACTCAATGTATTTGGGGGAAATGCGGTATGATGTAATGTAATCACTTTTCTATCTAGTAACAGTTACTTAAACTCAACTGATTTTTGCTCCCAAATATATTTGTAGGTAGGACCCCTTCGCTGTTGGCCTGGTGGACTTTGCCTATCTAGATCAATAGGAGACACAGATGTGGGAGAGTATATTGTGCCAATACCACATGTTAAACAAGTGAAAGTGTGTTGGTTTCATTATTACGTTCTTTGTTTTTTACTCATATGAGAGCATTCAGTTCTAAGATGTAATTCTGACAAACATTTGTCTCTTGTTTCCTTAGCTTTCAAATGCTGGTGGAAGGCTTATTATAGCCTCTGATGGTATTTGGGATACTATATCGAATGATACAGCTGCCATGTCATGTCGGGGTCTACCTGCAGAACTTGCTGCTAAGCTAGTAGTTAAGGTGAGATTGTGATTAATTATGGCATTCTTCTCACAT